ACTACATCCTCATGATGTTGCCTTCATGTTATTCCTAACCCATGTCTGAGGCAGTTTTAAATCATCCTTAGATGTTCCTGCATTAAAGTGATTTTTTTTTCAATTTAACTAGGCCACAAGCCACAACAGTTTTGACATGGGAGCAATCTGATGCACTTCCTTAACTGTTGAGATACACTGAGGATTCAAGATCAGCTTTCTGCCACTAGATCCTTTAATAACTAACAAAATTAAGTTTAAATGGATATATAATAGAAGCAAACACAAGGTTTCAAAGAAGTTTATATATGAGATTTATCCCCTGTATCAATAGACTCTAAGCAGTTTACATATAATAATACTAATAAAATAATTAAAAGTACAAAATTAAGTACAAAGATTACATTAGATGTTATAATTAAAACATTGGTGCCAATGTTCCAGAGTAGGGAAGTGCAATCTACTCATTGGCTGAATCATGGTTTCAATCATCATGATGAAATGTGCATCATGATGTCATGCTGCAAGACCCAACCCTTACATACATGTGTGCAACATCATGATGCAAGTATAAAAAGAACAGCATTTGTGCTACAATGTTGTGATGCACATCTCATTTCCCCCCTTAACTATGTCTGTGGATGAAGAAGTCCAAGAAATTTTACTGGCCACAGACTGGCAAGGCAGAGGGAGGAAAAAGCCCTTCTGGTTTTTTGTGTAGGTAGGAGGAAGGCAGTAGAGGGAAATAGATGTTGGATTTCCCTTTTGGTATTGCTTTAATGCAGCATCTAAACTTTAAGTCCTTGTAGTGGAATTTGCATTGTGCAACTAGCATTGTGAGTCAATAATACAGTGGCCATTTGAAATATTGCAGCTTTCTCCAACAAAGAAATTGACTGGAATCATATGCTGCATTATACCATGTCTGTATGTAGTTTAATGTGAGTCCACCACTGTGGCTTATTCAACAAATAATGGTTAGGACAGTAGTAAACTTCTTCTAGCCAGGGATTGCATTTAAAAAATTAGCCTCCAAAATCCATGGGGCATAGCAGTGACAAACAGTAATATGAGGAGAAGGGGAGGAACAAAATTTTTGGCATTTTTGTTTGAGACTTTATGGGGCATTATATTTAAAAAGTAGTCAGTGTGTGAAGATTGAAGACACCTATTTGCTGTCTTATTTTTAAACCTGGAAAACTTTAGCAGTGCACTCTTGGGACATTTTTGGTTAATGTGAGCTACTAAGCTGCAATCGTTACATTGATTCATGTCATTCAGTATTTATGTTGAAATGCATTGCATATCCAAGCAAGTGTGAAATGGATATTCAGCTTGGAAAAAACAAAGAAAATATTTTGATTTTATGAATGATCAAACAGCTGTTTATTAAATGCAGGAACAGTTTTCTTTAAAATGTTTTTGAATTTGCAGTAATTTTTATCATATAAAAAAAACTATAGAAATGATAGAAACACTGTGACACCTAGTGGTGTCAAAATATGTTTGCAAGAGCATGATACTCGTGTACCAACTACTGTATTTACAGGTATGCAAAATTCTGTAAGAATAAAGTTACAACATGGAAGTCATACCTATTTTTTTTTATTAGTCCCTCACTTAATTCATCCGCTTCCTTTTGTACAAAAGTGCAACAAACACAACTCAGTTTTACCCAGAGTCATCTAATTCATTACTGTTTAGAACTTACTTGCATATTGTATGAATTATTATGATAATATAGAATTGCAATTGCAATCTGATTCTTGAAATAACATTAAGACAAAAAGCCAGAAAAGATAGCTTCACTCTGTGGCTAGATTCATATATCTCACTAAGCCATAATGTTTTAATAATGGTTTATTGGCTAAGCCATATTGGTTGAGTTAACATACAATGCTAAACTACTGTGGTTTAAAACTGCAAATAGTTCAATTAACAGATCTTGCTCAGCCACAGGAAAACCACACTATGGCTTATAACTTTCCCTTATTTTTTTTTAAAAAAGTATTTAATTCTTAAGTTATGGAATGGGGGAATATATAGGCAGTTGCAAGATGTGGTGGTAGACACATTTAAGGAATAAATAAATATCCCCACTCATTTAATCAGAAGCATAGCTGTCTTCACTTTCCAGTGTTCTAGGTAATGGCTGGCTTTGTAATGACTTTGTAAATACATCATACCCATGTATTTTTCTAGTTGTCCTAGTCAAATATAGCAAAGGTGATTATGTTTATCTTTTTCTTTTCATGCTGAACTGACCAGAATCATAGCTGGGTTCACACACTGTGCTAAGCTATAATATGCTTGGTTTGGCTTTGTGCCAGCATGCCCCAATCTCTTTTGGCCAGTTGGCCCATATGGAATTTTGAGAACACATGTTCTGACAAAATAACTGCTACAATGGCATGGCCAGTAATCAACCATCCAGCAGACAAAATGATGAAGTTGTTCACCAACATTCCCTCTAACAGTCTAGGATGTTGTTTACCAAGTCAGTTTACCTTTCCCTTTTTACTGGGTGGGTGGGTAGTCAGTTTCAAACAAAGCACCAGGCTGGAGCCATTATTTTTATTTTGTATGAATACCTCTGGATTATTTTGTGGGTGGAGGCTGAGAGAACACAGAAGCATTTTTGGAAAGAAGGACTATACTTGAGACTGGCATTTTGCTTCCAGCATGCTAGAGTCCCTTATTAAAACAAACAAATACATGGCTTTTAGTAAAGGATGAATTACCTGACCAACAACCTCCTCTGACTATGAGTCCCAGCTTTGTGTCACAGAATGGCAGAAAAATAGCTGTCTGCTATAGTCCATTTTATAGAAGCAGCCATGTCTTGTTTCTATTAAAGAGTTTGTAGTTGCTGACCATTATTACACTATTTTCTTTCACAATAAACTGAAAGATTCATAAGGCTTATTTTTTCCTCTATTTAAATATTGTGGTATTTTAACATACAGTTTTACTTTGCATTTTGGAATTACTGTTAACTGTCTGATCCTGAGGAATAAAATTCCTTTTTAAAAAACAGTATTTTTTAGAAGCCTATTGTTCACTCAAATCAAAAACTTTCATTAGTTGAGGCAACGGTATCAATTTTAAAATACTGATATTCTAAAATAACAGTATCAATCCTAAGAAAGTCAGTTTGCTATCTCTTCTGTGGTCATGGGATATGATCATAGGCATTCATGTGCAGGGAGGGGGGAGTAATAAGAGGTGCATTTTAACATAATGCAAACCCTGCAACTTAACTACTTGTATCTGATGTCATTTTCTTGTCATTGCAGTGAATAGCAAATGCCGACAGAAGTCATATAGCTGTGACAAGAAACTTTTGCTCTGTTTTAAGTTCTAAGACTGACTTTAAGCAATATCTTAATCCCACAATAGCTCCTATTGCACTCTGTTTGTAAGGGCTACTTGATCCTTTAGGGATGCTTTAGGGAGGAGGGAGGGGCTGCAAGGGGCAAAATTCAGAAAAACAATTTTCCCTCTGCTAACCACAATGACATGAAATAACAAAACATTCATTGTGATATCAAAATGGTAACTTCATTTTTGTACTTGCATCCTGACATCAGACATGTTAAGTCATAGGGTTTGCATTGTGATCACACAAATGTATGGACCTATTTCCTGGAATGTGCAAAGAACCCATGTGGAAACTCAATTGCCAGACCATAAATAAATTTAATAAAGGGATTATCATAGATTACTTTATGTTTGACTTCCCAGTTGGGATTCTGTCTGATTTGTCATCTGAAGGTTTATCCTCTGCCATAATGTATTATACATTACATTTTTTTCTTTTTAGTTACTCAACTTGTCTGCTATTGTATGAGATTCTGCCTTATTTATTGCACTGGAAACCAGTTTGTCTAGTTTTTGGATATGTTTAGTTTCACCCAAGCCTGTTGTTCTCACAGAACCCCACCTTGAATGCATAATTAAATGTGGTATGTTCAAAGCAATGCAAATATATTTCCACTGGAATTGCACATAGTTAAAACTCTGGTTGCTTCAAAACTTATGGAAGTTGGGACTCATCCAATAGTCTTTTTATATCTACAGTACATTAAATAGGCTCTCTGTACTTTTCTTTTACCTGTGGCTATTATGTTTTTCAATAATAACAAAAGAACTTTAATCTGAGTTCATACACAGCCACAGTTTATTTAATCATGGCTTAATGAATAAACTAAATTTGCTAGGTTTCTGGCACTAAGCCATAAAGTATGATTTACGAATCACCAAGGCTGGGTTCGTACAACATACTAAGCTAATAGAGGTTATTGCCATTTAGAAAGGGTCTTAAACCCTTTTTCCCCTGGCCTTCCAGTTTAGAAAGTTTGTGGGCCTGGTTTTTAATTGTTATTGCATTTTAGACAGGGTAAGCCTCCTAGAGCCATGAAATAATTTGAATACATAAATTCATAAAATAACCTCATCCACATGAAATCTAGCGTTCTAATAAATCACTTTATTATTTTCTGTGATCGTATCGTGAGTGCTTGATTGGTCTCATAAAACTCTCACCTTAACAGGGGATTTTTTAAATTTCACACTAGCCAAATCAGCGGTCGTCTGGTTCTACAGAAGAGGATGCAATTCAAACTTCTACAGCAGTGTTTCTCAGCCTTGGCCGCTTTAAGATGTGTGGACTTCAACTCCCAGCATTCCCCAGCCAGCCAGAGGAATTTGGAGTTGAAGTCCACACATCTTAAAGGCGCCAAGCTTGAGAAACACTGCTGTACGCCACCCGCAAAGTTGCTGAACTTCAACTTCCAGCACCCCCAGCTCCTACGGCTGATGTCAAGGGAGGCTTAATTCATTCACTCTCTTGCGCGTTGTAGCTTCCCCACTTAAATCACCTACCAGGCCACCCATAAATGAAGCTGGAGTCTATATACCGCCCTCTAGAGGGAAGCATCAGCAAAGCCGAACTCTGCTCCCCAGGACGTCCTTTTCTTTGGTCTCTATGATTATCCAGCACTTCCGGGTTGCGAAAGAGATCAAAACAATTGCACCTTTGCGCTTCCCTCAAGGTTTGGAAGAGGCGAGCTGAGTCACGTGATCCCAAGAGCTGGCTCCTTTAAGAGGAAGGCTACCTTGGTAGGCGGGGTGAGGTTGAGCGGAGTTTGCGTGTTGTGGAGGGGCGCGAGTGAGCTTGTGGCGAGCGGAAGGGCGGGGGCACGGCTGGGGACGGAAACGATCTGGCAGGTAACGGTTGCGCTGCCTTCCCTCTCTTGGTCTCGGGGCGTCTGAACGGCAGGAAGGGTGATGCAGCGGGAATGCGGCGCGCGAGGAGCGTTCGCTGCTCTCCCCCCTCCCCTCCGCCGCGAGGCTGAGAGTTCTGGTCCCCCTTTCCTCGCGCCCCTCTCCTCCTCCTGGAAGAGTCTCGCCGCGGGGCTTTCTTGCGGCGCTGCGAGGATGTGCTTTAATTGTACTGAAAGATGCATTGTTTCCGCCCCAAAGACCCGCTACCTGCCCCGGTATTATGCTCACGGCAGTGAATGTCGGGGGTGGGCCGTAACCCCACCCGCGCAGCCCGCCCAAATTGATTTAGGAAACATTGGAGTGGATTTCAAAAGAGGGAACGGCTCTGCGTTTCAAGAGAACATTGAACAGTGCTTAACCTTTGCATGGCCCTTCCCCGTGTTCAGTGGCATCTGGTGAATTAACCGGTGCTACCTTTAAATCTTGTAAGCTCCAACTAGCGTGGCTATTTATTGCAATCCAGCTTTTGAGGTCCAAACTGTTGGGGAATGCCAGGTTGCCCACCTCCTATTCTAAGTCAGTAAATATGATTGTCTGCCGTAATATAAATCAGCCTTCCTTAACCCGCCACCCTCCATATATTTGGACTTAAGTTCCCAGAATTCACCGCAGTTTCTGTAGGTAGGAAACTCAGGGGTGCGAATCAACAGTTTGCTGGAGAGTACTTGAGTTGGGGAAAGCTAATGCAGATGTTGGGGAGGGGAAATTGAGGCCAAACAAGTGGCTTGCTTAATGTCCCCTAGTCAGTTTGTGGATCACGCTACTGAGATTTGGAGGTATATTTGGTGAACTTCAGCAGCACAGTTTGGGGAATTGAGCTTGGAGAAAGGAATTGTTTCCTTCTCAGATGCTTTCTGCTCCAGTTCCCCTGTTAACCTCCCCCCAAAACAAGGAAGAGGGCTAAAACTTCTTTGCCTGTCTGTTTCCAGAATTGCAATGCCACTGGATGGCTTGTAGCTGCCTCTGAAAGGTTGAGAGGCTGCCTTTCAGCCCCTGGCTTCCCAAAAGTCATCTACCTTGTAGTGATGTAGCTCTAATTTCCAGTGTAGCTGGCTGTTCTGTTAAACAGTACTATCATAGCAGAAAAATGCTCACCTCTAAGGGGTTCTGTGAGACATTAATCAGTGTCTCCAGTGTCATTTTTAATTATCTTTCGGAATATGACTGATGATTTAGTGTCTCAGTAACTAGGAACATCAGTGTTAAATGTTACACTTTACACCTCCAAACATATTGCTTTTAGTAAGGTGACTTTCCAGTAACAGGTTTATGTTACCATTTTTTGTTTTGTTGATCAACAGAGTTTGAGTACATTAATTTTTTTAAAAAGCCATTTGTTTCTCTAGTTAAATCTGTTTTCTCTTCTGAAGTTGCCATTATTTTTTTTATAAGCATATTCCCTAAACTAGTGCCTAAACAACTTTTGAGGAGGCTGCTCACTAGCTGGGGAGGCACACCTGGAAAAAAGTGTTCACCCTCCTCTGCATATCCCAAATTTGCTTCAGAAAATTGAGAAATGGAGCTCTGCTTGTATGCCATTGGATTTATTATTATTATTATTTGCCATCAAGTTGTTTCCAACTCAGTGACCACGTGGATAGATTTTCTCCATGAATAACATTGGAAGCCACCCATTATTACATAAAAGTGATCTCAATACATTTGAAGTCATAAATGACAAAGATTTCCAAGGGAAAATGTTGGTCAGATTATGAAAGCAAAGAAACGCAGTATTTAAACTAAATATTTACTTATTTAAAGACAAATAAGATTACTACTGAGTAGATTATTATCAGCATAAGAACAAATGTATATTTAAATACTTCAAAAACAGAAAACACAATATAGCTTTAGATAACAGGCAACCTCAGATTGTCATTGTTACATTTATTTTGATAAGCTGAACTTATTCTGTTTTAACCTTTTTATTGGAACAAGGAGTGTAAACTGGTCCTCTGATTTATATGGCATAAATCTTGTTAACTACATAAACGTTTACTAAAATAGAAAAATCCAAAGAAAATTGCAGAGGAGCTATAAATGAATTCTCATTTATCTTCAGTGCTAGAAGTATTGTAAGTTATTCATCTCTGATCTATTTTTGCAGAGGGAGACACCTGAGAAATTATGTGAAATTTATTCATTTAAGATCTTGCATATCACCTTCTAACCAATTTTCTGGGTATGGTTTATGTAACAAAACACAATTAATCCAGTAATAGCAAAAGCAATAGTTAAACCAATATATCATAAAGCCTGGCAAAATAGAAAAGTTCCATCTGCATGAAAAGAGCAACAGTGTAGGTGGCAGGCGCGCTTGGAATGGAATTCCAAGATAAATACGCAACAAAAATCTTTCTCTGGTTGCCACTCATCTTTCCTACAATAGTACAGCATCTGGAAGTGACCTTTCAAAGGTGATCATCATGAATGGATAGGCATGTTGAACTGGGAGCAGGATTCAGGAATACACAACTACAGGTAGTCCTCGACTTTCGACCACAGTTGGGACCAGAACTTTAATTGCTAAGCCATGTGGTCATTAGGTAAAACATCACATGGCTGCACCACTTAGTGCTGGCAGTTCCAGTAGTCCCAGTTGCAGTAGCTAGGCCAGGACAGTGCTGCTGTTAGGCGAGTACCTCATGCTTCTCCTGCCCTGTCGTGCTCACCTTTGCTTCAACTCCCTGCACCAGTCTGTCTCCCCCCATCTCTACCCTTTTGGGTGCCCTGCACAGTAGCATTCCTCTGCAGCGATTCTTGCTTGGAGAATGGCAGGTATGCCCCATTCTTGCAATGCCTTGGAAGACCTCAGATCTTTCCAGAGGTTTTCTGAGTAGCGTGGGAATGGGGCATGTGATTTGGAGAACACCATGAATGGCCTCGGGAAGAAGGGCTGGTGTGGCCAGCAGCTACCTTGCATAAGGCAGGCTGGGTGCGCCTCAGCAGCAGCAGGAGGAAAACGATGAAGGTCATCTGGGTGTGGCAAGGCCTGCAGGGCGACTGGGGCTTTGTGCTGTGGCACTGGGTGTGTGGCTGTGGCGCGGGGCTTGAGGTGGCATTCCTCAGCAGTGGTGCCTGCTGTGCTGGGACTGAAGTAGAGGCCTGGGGGTGGTGGCAGCCAGCTGAGACTGCTGAAGGCCCTGGGCCTCTAATTCAGCCCCAGCATTGCTGTGGCCGCTGAGGAATACCGCTGTGCAGGGCACCCAAAAGAGCAGAGATTGGGGGGAAGATGGGAAGAGTTGAAGTGTCCCTGTGGTTGTACGTGTGGGCGGGCTGCCGAATTTTGATCACATGACTGCGGGGGTACTGCAATGGCTATAACTTCGGATAGATACCAGTCATAAGTCCCTTCATTCAGTGCTGTCATAACTTTGAACAGTGACTGAATGGTTGTAAGTCGAGGACTACCTGTACAGTTGAGATTAAATGATTAGCTGAAACTTGTTTCCCTGCAATTTCCAAAGTCTAGTTGCGCCCCCCCCCCGGGTCTGGGGATATGTCATCTTTGACTTTGGATTGGGTTACACTTCCTTGGATGGAGCTGATGCACAATTTGGGGGTCCTCCTGGATTCCCAGTTACTGCTCAATGAGCAGCTGGGAGCCGTGGCTAGGGGGTCCTTTGCATAGATTAATCTTATGTGCCAATTGTGCCTGTTCCTGGACCAGGAGACCTTGCTCAGGATCACTCATGCCTTGTTCACTTCCTGTTTGGATTACTGCAGTGAGCTCTATATGGGACTGCCCTTGAAGACCACCCAGAAATTACAACTGGTCCAAAATGCAGCAGTGTACACAGTGTTGGGCATCCCTAGGTTTGCCCATATTACACCTCTGTTGGCTTCCAGTTTTCTTCAGGGTGCAATTCAAGGTGCTGGTTATTACCTTTAAAGCCCTATATGGCATGGGGCCAGGTTATCTGCATGACCACCTTTCCCTTAGGACAGTGTTGGTGCCCCCTAGCTGGGCCAGCCAGACAGGGGGGGAGATCCCACACCGCCCACGACGTC